ATTAATTCATTCAGTTGTTTTCTGTGTTCTCTTGGAATTCATTAATCATTTTTATAATGATTTTTTTGAATTCTTTGTGTGAATTTCATCTACTTCAATATCTTTGGGGTCAGCTGCTGGTGAATTTTTAGGAGGTGTCGTATTGTTTTTTCATATTTCTTACATTCCTGTGTTAGGTTTTGTTCATCTGTTGGGAGGGATTCTTTCTACTTTTTTATTGGTGCATTATAATTATACATAATGATGGGATTTGTTATTAACAATATAATGACATCATTTGGTCAGTATCATTCCCTATCATTTACTTTTTACTGCTAAGCTGTATTCCCTTTTAATTGGATATACCAAATTTAGAGAAGACTGATGCCAAACTATTTTCCAAAGTGACTGTACCATTTTTCCTATCAGCAGTGTACGTGAGTTCCAGGAGCTCAATATCCTTGGCAACACTGGGTATGGTCAGTCTTTTTAACTCTAGTTTTTCTAATGGTCTATAGTGGTGTCATGGTTCTGTTGGCAGCAGTGGTGGTTTTTTTGTTTTGGTGTTTTTGGTTGGGGGGGACGGTGATTATTGTTGTGGTTTGCTTTTTGCAGAACCTAGGAATTAAACCCACTGAGCTACATCCCCAGTCTTTTTCATTTTATTTTGAGACAGAGTTTAAGTTACCCAGACTGATCTTGAATTTGTAATGCCTCAGGCTCCTGAGTAACTGGGGATTATAAGTGTGTGCCACCACATATAGCAGTATCATATGCTTTTACTTTGTATTTCTTTAATGACTATGCTGAATGTCTTCAAATGTTTATTTGCCAACATATATCTTCTTTAGTGAAGAAATTGTTTAAATATTTTAATGCTTTTGGTAACTGTTATTGTTGAGTTAGAAGATTTCTTTGTATTCTAGATAAATGTCATTAAATAAAGGACATTTTCTCTTCAAATCTGTGGCCTGTCTTAATTTTTTGTCTATTGAAGAGCAAAAATTTATGATTTTGATGAAGTCAAGTTAATTGATGTCTTTTCCTTTTTGTTTCTACATAGAAAATCCTATGGTCTGAGAATTAAAATCTCTTTACTTTCTTTTTCCCAAGCAATATGTTTGTTTTTTTCTATTGCCCTTTTGTACTGGCTAGGATCTCCAGTGCAATGCTGAATAAAACAGATGAGAAAGGACATTCTTACTTCAATTTCAGAGGAATGAGCTCTTTAACCTTTAAGAGAGATGTTTGTTCTAAATATCTCTTACGTGTTCTCCATTAGGTTGAGGAACTTACTTTTTTTTGGTTTTTTTTGTGTTTTTTTTAGAGAGAGAGAATTTTTTAGTTTTTGGCAGACACAATATCCTTGTTTGTATGTGGTGCTGACAATTGAACCCGGGCCGCATGCATACCAGGCGAGCGTGCTACCACTTGAGCCACATCCCCAGCCCCAGAGGAACTTACTTTCTATTCCTACTTGATGTGAGTTTTTATCATGAATGGCTATAGAATTTCATCAAATGCATTTTCTGAATTACTGAATATTTGACTGAGTATGGTATCAAATTTAGTCTGTTAAGATGATGAATTATAATGATTGCTTTTCAAATATTAAGACAACCTTGCATTCCCGGATAAGCCCCAGTTGAACACGTTGTATTATTGCTGAATTCTATTTGCTAATATCTTATTGAGTATTTTTGCAATGGTGTTTATGAGAAGAAACACTGGTCTACAGCTTTCCTTTCTTATAATGTCTTTTCCTGGTTTTGGTATTACATCAATGCTCATGTCATCAAATGAGTTGGGAAATGCTTCCTTCTCTCACATTTTTCTAAGTGTGTATGTAAAAGCAAGATTAGTTCTTCTTTGAATGTTTAGTAGAATCCACAAGTAAGTCAAATAATCTAGGCTTCTATATTTTCTCAATAACACATCTAAAAACAAAAAACAAACTTACTATGGCCAGGTAAAACTAATAATTTTTACACCACAACATGTTTTTTCTCACAGTATTCCATTTCAATTAATCACATCATTTCACCCATTTTAAACTTAAACTCGAAACTTAGCAGTTGTCTCTGATTTCACTCTTTCATTTACCCTCTGCCTCAAATCCATCCTCAATTCCTAATGGCTCTACTTTCAAAATATATTCATCCTTCTCTTCATCTTAACTGTCGGGTTTCCCAGTTCAGGCTTCCTAATTGGCCATCCCAATATATGACTGTCCCCACTATAGTCTACTCTTTTGGCTTAAAGCCCTCATCTGGACTTTAATTTCTTCCACCTTTAGATATTAACTGCAAAACAGAAAAACAACAAGCTGAATGTACTGACTATGGAAATGCTACCTATTTTTACAAACTCTTTACTACATAACTAGATCCAAGACCTGGAAAGTCATAAAATTATACATCTAGAAAAAAATTTAACTTTGTTTTATTGAATCTTAAAGGAGGTACAAATTCTTATCCAGGAAGCAACAGCACCAAGAATAGCCAAGTACCAAACTTGTTCTTCCAGATCTAAACAACAACAATCACCTTACACCCAACCTGGTCCCAAATTTTGGTCAGCTACCTATCCCATCTCCTTAGGCTTCCTGCTCAAACTGAGAGCACTCCTGACAATATTAGAAAAGGCTATACTTGCTGGTCTTATCAACAAGGTAGGTAAGGAACAGGGAAATAATGCAACAGACTTATTTACTCATGTTGATTTATTTCAGACATCTCCTGCGCAGGGCCAAGAGCAGGAAAGATGCCCAGCAACTTGGTCTTACTGTTTTAGCTACATCATCCACTTCTGAAAAACTCAACTGATAGTCTACCATACCCTCTCCCTTCCTGCTGTCTCACCAATCGACACTTCATTTCATACTCTGGCCTGCTCTAGAAAACTGCTATGGCCTGAGTGTCTGTCCCCTCCAAAATTCATATTGAAACATAATTACAAAAGTTATCTGTTAATGGTATTTACAGGTGATGTCCTCAGGAGGCAATCAGATAAAGTAATGAAGATGGGACCACCTGACTGCATTAGTAGCTTTACCAAAAGATTAACCCAAGTAAGTAAATTTGTTCAGTCTCACCATGAGCCACTTGGGACTCTACAGAGTCCCCACAAGCAAGAAGTCTTTCACCAGAAAGTCCCTCAACCACAGATTTCCCAGCCTCCAGAACTGTAAAAAATAAATGTCTTTTCTTTATAAAATTACCTAACTATGATATTCAGTTACAGCAAAGGAAAACAGACTAAGACACCCATCCAACCTACTAAGTACTCCCTTCCTAGTCTACCACTGTCATTCCTTATGTCAAATGAAGCCACTATTTCTCTTGTTATTTCTTTGGCACTTCTTCATTATCATGTTACTTCTTTATTCACTAAATTACCTCTAGAACTGCATCCTTTGGTTTAACCAAGCCCTAATATGCTTCTCTTTGGTGGACCTAGACAACATTAGCAAGGTTGATGCTTTTCAGAAAACAAGTAGTGACCAAATCAACCTATGTTCCCAGGACCTGGAGCCAACCTTTAGTTGCACTTTCAGGAATCAAGGAAGGGGACTATTCTCATACTAAGCAACAACTGGGAGTGGGAGGTGGACCTCAACTAGATTAGGAAAATTCACTCCCATATAAAACCCTGCTTGTAACTTCACACTAATTAAAATTATAATTAAATTCATATGTGTGACTAGTATATCTCTCCCTACCTGCGCTCTCCACTAAACTGTAAACTCTAGGAATGCAAGAACTATATCTAACCTGATCATTAGTAAAATTCCTACACCCTAGAAATACCTGGCACACAGCTATAATCAATTAGCTCCACTGGGTAAAAAAAAAAGCAGTTAATTTATGACTCAATAAAGCTCTATTATAAGGTGGTACTCTTGTGGTACATATTATATCTTTTCTGGAAAAGCTTATAATAAGATCTAATATTTCTTGAGTTCCTGCCATTCTAAGATTTTTTTTAAGGACTCCTTTGTTTTTTACATGTAGCCTCAATTAATCCTCATGAGAAATTTATGGAGTAGGTACTATGATTATTCCCATTTTATAAATGCAGCATTTAAGACAGAGAGGTTGCATAATTCATCAGCGATTATATAGAGAAATGACAGAGATGAGATTCAGACCCAGGTAGCCTCACCTAAAAGCCCACACTTCTCATCACTACAGTATATCTCCCCTTCCTGAAAAGAATCCAAATTCCTAAATACCAATGAATTAAGCCAAAATTAAACAAATTACATGAAGATAAATTCGGACTTATACACACATATAAGTCACCAGTTCCACCTGACAATTTGAAAAAAAAAAAAAAACTGATTCTTTCCAATGTCTGGCTCTTACAGTTATTTAAACCAACAGTCAAAACTAAAATCACTCTTACTTTTGAAATGACATACACTAGTGGGAGACTGAAACCCAAAACATTCTCATATTAAAAATGTTTTCTTCTGTCACTAAATGCCTATTATATCAAAATGCATAAAGACAATCTTTATCTGCCAGGGATGCCAAATCACCAAACTGGGCCTAACAGATATGACATGTATTGCCCAGATTTTCCAGGACAGGAAGCATGTAATTGGTATATTCCAATTACAATATACCATCTCCATGGTTTTGTCTTTCCAGATCTTGCAACATAGTTGTAGGGAAATAACATGTTTCAAGTTTGACTGGATCCTTCAAGCTTTTCTTCTAACCAAAAAAAAAAAAAAAATACCAGAAACCAATGCAAGGCTTTGTGACAGGGAAGACTGACTGGAAACCAATGTGACAGGGAAGACTGACTGGAGAGTGAGCAACAAAAAAATTCAAACTATTAGATTTCTGCCCAGCAGCTACTGCCTATTAAGTCCTGAACACTGTATAACATCTTTCAGAGGCTTGGAGACTGAGAGGTCTGTGACTCCCCTGGTCTTTGATGCTGCACTGGTGTTCCATGCAATGCAAAAGGCCCTAAGAAAAATATCTCTAATAAAAGAAAATTTAACTCACCTTCCACTGCTCCTCCGGAAGCAGTTTCACAACCACCAGATCCCCATTCAAAGCTCTATTACGAGCAACAACTCCATCGATAAAAATGTCTCGATCACCATCCTAAGTTGAAGACAGAAATAAAGGCACAGTCATCTCACCAGGGCTTGGAGCTAAAAGGATTTCTTTGGTTGAAGAATGTTAGACTCCATAATCTTTCCACTAACTTAATAGAAACACTAGTTCATAGCCACACACATATATAAGGGGAATTTAGTATCTTTCATTCTTCCAGAAACTCATACTAACTGTGTCTTTTCAGAGGATAAGAAGTCAAATGCTGATTTTTCTTATAGAAGGTGACAATAAATGGGTCTAGAAAGTCACCACTCAAATTTTTCTATGAGATACTGGATACAGATAAAAGTCAACACTTAAAGGGCAGACGGTGACTACTATAAACTTTGTAGTTAGCTAAAAGTGACATTTCAAAATCACCATGCAAAAGGAGGGGGAGGTTTAGTTGCTCAGCATTTTTATAGTTTCCAATTACAAACCATCAGATATCTCTTAAAATAGATTTTCTGTTCAATTTCCAATCTAACTAGAGGTTGTCAGCTGTGGCCTCCGATCTACCAAACCTGACCCCACCCTACTCCTTGAGCAACAGCTACCGTGTTAAGAGACAAGGAATTATTGCAGCTGACCTCATGATGAGCTTCGCCGGAAATAAAGAGACACTAGGAAATAGAGAGTGAACAACTCAAGTGTCGCCCATCACCATCCTGCTGCCTTCTGCAATTTACAGAGTGACATGATCCTGTCGTCCTCCCTGGAATGAAGAAAGCTATTTGGAGGTCACCCTAACCTATTCTCATGTGTCAAAACATATGCATGAAATGCCTCTTTCATAAGCAGCTTATAACCACCCCTTGGCAGCTCAGAGATATAAATGCTAGGATGATGATAGTGTCATCTTCCTATCCCAAGAAACCAAGGAAAGAAGGGCTGGGTTAAAACCCAGAAAACCTCCAACTATTCCACACTACTTGGCTCTGCCTTAATTCATTCAGAAGCTTGTAGCTATTGCCAAATCTCTTATTATAAAGATACTAAACTTGGGAGCTATTCAATATTAATGTTTGAATAATCTCTTTTAACTAACTTTTAAGGCCAAAAAGTTCAGCTCTGTATTTTGATGCCAGAAGACTTGTCCTATCCATCAGAAAAAAAAAATTTTTAAATGGATGCTAAGCATCCACAGAGGAAATATAATGGGATCTGGGGTAATCTAAACACTCAGGAGAGAGTATGAAGAAGGACAATCTAAGTATGCCATGATAGCCAAAGCATCCTCCATTGATGCAAGAGCTAGCTCTCTGTGGACCAGAAATAAACTCCACAGCTGCATAAAGGGTGCCTCCCATAACAAGACCCATAAAAAATTTCTGAGTTTCTTGGACCAATATAATTCAGAATAGAAACTGTGGTTAAAAAAAATATTTTTTTTAAAGGCAGGCTTTTCCATCTGATTCATTTTCCCCTTTTATCCTCTCCCCAAACAGAATATAAGACATCTCAATAATACACTTTTATCTCGATTTGCTTGAAAATCACATGACTCTATTCATACTCTATATTTTACTTTTATTGAGAACCCCCAAAAGACTAGCAGGGACACATAAGTGACTCATCCCATGTGTTTTGGATTTGTCAAAAGAAAATGAAAACTGATTTTCTATCAGTGGAAATTACAATGAACCTAAGTCAAGTTCCCTCAGAACAAAATAGTATTTGATAATCAATTCACTGTTCTTAAACTACTAAGTAGATACTTTGGCACAGCAAAACTATTTACCTGACATTGTATAAATTCATAACCATTTGGAGTAAAAATTAACCTAAATAATTTAATCAAATCTCTACTTGTTTTCTTTCCAAAACTCTTGATATTTTAAAGTTGTAATGAATACATAATATTTAATCCACCTCTTCATTTTACAAATAAGGAGTATGCTCCCCCAGAGTAATCAAGCCCAAGCCCACTGGCGACAGCCCCTGTACTTAGTGGTGGCTAAAGGGCAGGTATTTCTAAGGGGTACAGATAGAGCTTAAGCACATGGGATAAGATGCCCACATACATGCATGCAAGAACCTTCAAGGACTGCAAAGGAGTCATGAGAAGACAGGCAGTCTGGCTTGAAAAAGGAAGAGGGGCAGGCCAGAGGTGGACCTCCTGTGCATTTCAGCAAAGAGCTCCAAGAAATCTGAAAATCTTACATTTGAACAAAACACAGGTCCACTGAGGTAAAATTGGCAAGACCATGTCATGGAATATATTTTACTTAACTGTTTGTTAGTTTGATTTGTAACTTTCCAATATTTGATATAAGTTATACATGCCTCCTCTTATACTTTTGTCTTAAGCCTCACACCTGATAAGTAGAAACCTTATAGATTTAACTTAGGGAAACTCAAGACTGTGTACTCAGGGAGGAGAGAAAACTAGCAGTAAACTTTTCAAAATGCTGTAGTTCCCCTTATCACTCCAACCCATGAGTGCAAACCTCAGCGTGCACAGATGAGATTTGAAATCTGCTCAGTTCACAGGTGCCTCTCAGATTGAACTCCTTACTGCACTGAATGTAATTCTCATGTTAAAAAAATCCATGTTTTCACTCATATGGGATCCTAATGCAATCAAGTTCCTTCAATCAGTATGCCAATGAAAAAAAAATCATTCTAATGCATAGAGAACACAAGTTATGCAGAACTTATTGAGAGAGAGCTTATCCATCTCCATCATTATTTCTTAGGCAGCTTCCTAAGAAATAATTGTGGGTAATTTTTATGATTCCAGTATGTGATCTTTATCTTATGAGCAAACTCTGGAATGTAATACCCATGTAAGCTGCACTTCCACTGTATAATGGAACTGCTCCTGCTAACCCTCAATTCTATGACTCAAGTGCCATGGTCAGTATATATACTATGTTCTGTCACAGAAGAGAACAGAATATAATTCAGAATAATGTGACATTTCAGTGATGCTTTTTACTGAATCAAATGGGTAAGACTTGAACTTGAATGCAAATGCAAATCCTTGGCTTCCAAAGGGCCAGGGAAAAGGGTCTAAACAGAATTTGAGATAAGGTCTTAAGATTATTATAACAAAAAGAATAATAGTATCACTTTTGAAAGATATAACTGGACTTATAATCTGACTAAATTTGTTATTTAACATAATAAAATACATAACTGAAATATATGTATTTCATTTCCTTGTCTATAGCTGAAGTTGATCCCTTTGATTTCTTCGTGAAAAATCTAGAGCTATCCTGCTTATATGGCACCCTGAAAAGTTAGGCCAGGAATTCAAGAACACTGCCCTCCCAGCTTTGCACAATCAAGCCTTCTCCAGAAACCTACAGCTAATGATATGTCAGTATGAACTTGCTTTAACTAAACAGAACCTCTAAAAATGAATCATGAATATAAGAAAGGATTTAAAGCACCAACAGTAAAGAGCCGTGTTACCAAGTGCTATCACCTGCATAGAAGTAAAGTGAGAAACCCTAACCAAAAAAAAGTGTTACACATTATTTTTGGACAAATGTTCAGATTAGATCATGCAGTAGATCGAAAGTAGAGAGCATATTTGTTTAGGAAAGATTAACTTAAATCAGTGGAAAAAAACCATAAATCCTTTTAAGCTGTAAACCAAGGGCATCCAATTACACGAACTGGTGGGTAGTCTGCCTGGGGCCAGCTGCTCTCTGCAGCCTCCTAACAAACGCCATCCCTCTCATTTGGCCTGTGATTTCAAGATTGGCAGAAGGGATGGTGAACCAAAGGCAAATTTTGCTTATTTACATTTGAAACAAATTTTTCCCCATCCTCAATTTCATTTTACTACTCTGCTTTTTAGTTAAAATATATAATTTCAGTTTCAGAGCACATCTAAAAAATTAAGTGTGACACCAAGCTTATTATAAAGTTATTGAACTTACCGGGGAAGGAATGAAGGCTTCATGAAACTTCTTTGGATTGATTCTCAGTACACCCTTTAAAATGAAAATAAAATCTGTGAAAATCTAACTACATGTATATTTTTATTTTTCTATATGTTATTCTCCAATAAAAAGTTGAACAATTTGTTCTAGAAAACAAGTTAGCTATATATGAGACCCATTCATTAAATACATAAACATGATTTATGTTGACATGCACAACACCAAAACCCATGGAAAACTGAAAACTCAAAGACTGACACTTGCTGAGAACAGGCAAAGGTGAGGAAATCAGCAGAGCACAGCAAAGAGTGGGAAGGTGGCAATTGTTGGGATTTAGATGCCACCATATGTGCTAGTCTTCGAACTTACACCTTGACCTTAAGAATGAGGTTATCTGGGTTCATACCTCATTACATAATAGTTTTTTTTATTCTCCCCACTCTAGGAACTCTATACAATTGCTTGTTTCTGGAATAATTTTCAAAGTGATACAAGTTGATTTCATCCTGGATACTTAGCCTCAAAGAACTGGATGCATATGGTTTTCTGAGGCCCCTCTGTAGAGCTGAATGAGTCAATAATTCAAAATGGTCCATAACCAGCTCTTAATGCAAAAGGGAATGCTGGCTCCAAGAAACCAGGCCACCCAGTCAGCCTTCTACTTCATGTTATTCCAGCACCAAATCAGGATCTGCTTATATTTATGCACAGGGGTGCAGGTGGGGCCAATCTTTAATAGCAGTTCAGTGTTTTAGGCCTTTGCAGGAAGCTGTAAGGCTCCCCAGGTTCCAGCTGCATTTACAGGCCACTGGAGCACACGGATGGAAGCAGTTATTTTCCTAACAGCCAGATTCAATGGATAACTTGAGAAAGTGTTTTAAACAAAATTTCCCACTAAAGTGAATGACTCAAAGAAACATAATTAACAAAATAAATGAGGACATAAAATTAAGCAGAAAATAATTACTTTCTTTCACTGGTATACCACGTTTAAATTACAAATGTCCATGCCACAATATGCAATGTCATATCAAACAGACTACTACAAATGATTCTTCGGCCCCTAATTATTTATCAAGGATTAGGTGATAACTAATCTTGATCCTTGTTGTAAAGAAAAATGTACAAAATGTCAAAGTGAGGATTCAGTTTACTTTCAGCTGGAGGACAAGAAAAGCCTCCAGGAATGGGATCTAATCTGATCCCTGAAAGATGAGCAAAATCTGCAAGTAAATCAGAAGAGAAGGATAGTAGAAGGCACTGTGTTAGCAAAAGTGGGTTAGAGAGCCAACATTTACTCTTCCCCATCATGCTACAAATTCACTTCCGGTGAGAGAGAAGGGCAGGGAAATATGGCTGGCAAAGCTCCCCAAGGCCTCCCTTAACGATGCTAAAGCAATTCACTTCTAGGACAGCAGTTTCCTCCTGGGGAAGAGGAAAAATAAAACTTACATTTATCCTAAATATTCATCTACTCAATAATTCCTGATAACTAGTATGATAGGTGTCCGGTTGAGTGATACAAATACAGTGAAGAGTCACAGACAAACTCCACCCTTACAGAGCTCACAGGCTCAGCAAGGAAGGAGCCACCAAACAAATCAAAGTCAATTCACTGAAATTACATTTTCTGACTCCAGGCACTGTTTTCTAGCCTGAGCATGTTGTTGTTGTTGTTGTTGTTGTTGTTGTTTTTAATTCCTCTTCTTTTATCACCCCTCCCAGTTCAGTGAATGGTTTGCACATGAAGAAATAAAGAAGTGAGAACGCCCCCTGCTTTAAATGTGCCTTTAATTACAGAGCACTCAGAGAGGCCAAGGCTGGGCTCAGGGGGAAGAGACATGTTGCTCAAGGCTGCATCTCAGCTCTATTAAAAGGAAAAGACATTAAATAGACCTTAAAGATTTTACTCAAAATTCTCTGTCCCAGACTTTCATATGTATAAACATATAGGGAAGGATAGAAGTTGTGTTTCAAAAAAATTTATTTGATTGGAGCACAACTCTTAAGAACTGTATCTCAGAAACAGAACCTCTGAGAGTTCAGATAATAAAGAGAAAGCTCCAACAGGGTCCCACAGCAGACCAGGGTGGTTCCTACAGCCTGCAGAGAAGCTAGCAGCACAGTTTGTCAAGAATGATCTGTCAGAAGGAAAGGAAGAGAGAGTGGATGGGAAAAGGAAAGACAGTAGAATGAACTGGACATAACTTTCCTATGTTCATATATGAATACGCCACCAGTGAAACTCCAAATCATGTACAACCACAAGAATGGGATCCTAATTAGAGTAATTTATACTCCATGTATGTATAATGTCAAAATACACTCTACTGTCATGTATTTCTAAAAATAACACCCCCAGAGAAAAGATTTGTCAGCTGCAAAACATATTCAGCACATGCTGTTTAAAAGAGAAGTGTAATACTCTCATTCTCCTGTTTTCCCAACTATCCCTAACCCCATCCAGTCCCCCATCTCTCATCTGCCTCCTAAACTCTCCTCTAGCCCTGGAATTTGATCAATAAGGATCCTGCATCTTTCATCTCTGCTGTGAATGCTCCTGCAGTTCCTGACTGGAAACCTAGCTGTCCCTTGATGTCATTATTTCCCTTGAGTGCTCTCAGGAATCAGGGGAAGACTGTCTTTTCTTTGCTTCCCTGTATGTCTTAAAAATTATTTGTTCCTTCAATTCACTTTTAAAAAACCCCAGGTCCTTTGAAGTTCATATCATTAGCTCCTGCTACATTTCTTTGGTGCTACCATCTTCAAACTTTCCAGCCACAGCTCCAATTCATTAGTGTGTTGACTGGTAGCTCACTGCCTTTCCTTTCATCTCCACATTTTGGGGACTTTACATCCATATCAATGACTAGGCAACCTAGTCAATCATTCTAGGTACCTACTCCATCTATCCCAGCCACACTCCTGCTACTTTCTCCCACATCCACCACCTATATTCTGTCATCACCATTAATTACACTACTTTCAAACACAAGCCAAAAATCACATTTTCTGATCACACTCTTCTGTCCTTCCAGCTCAATTACTGTAGAAACCCCACTTCACAATCCTTCAGTTTCACCAAGACCTCCAAGCCATAGTCTGACCACCTTTTCATTCACTATCTTCCCTTTCTTGGCTACCTAATTGACATGGCCTGCCATTATTCTTTACCCTCACAAACCGGGTCCCCTCTTCCTCTTACAGGCAACCAGTAAAGCCCTCCCCCAACTGACTCCAACTGTCTTCCTTATCCCTGCCTACCCAGGAACTAAATGGCATTATAGAAAAATACTACACAACTGGGTTCATTTGCCTAACTTGGCACTCACAAACATACTTTATCTGACTTATACAATGTTTGAGAACATCTTGAGGAATTTCACACATAAAAAATATGTAGTTCAGATTATCTTGAAAAACTATAAGATCCAGCAGCAGCTGTGGACAGCTATCTCCACATGACAGCAACCACCTGAGCTGAGTAACAGATGCTCTTCTGACAATAATAAAAGCAATCTCAAGTACCACCACTTCCATAGGTGTCCTCCAGGCCACATAATGTTTTGACAGCTTTATTTCTGTGAACTATTTAACCCTTACAACAACCAAGAGGTATAGACTATTATATTCTTTTTTGTGAATGAGAAAACTGAGGCACTGAGAGGGTGAGTCAACTGCCACTGTGGTACTACACTTAAGCCTGGGCAAACTGGCTACAGAATCCCAGCACTCAACTACTGCAGGGCCCATGTGCTTGCCACCAGGGCCTCTTCACTCACCCATCTTCCCTCCTGCTCCCCACAGGTCAGCACACATACTAACCCTCAATCTTCCTTGTCTTGGTTAATGACCACATCATCCTTAAGCCATTCTGGCTTCCACCCTTTGCCTCACTTTCCACATCTCATCGGTCAGAAGGTCATGTCAGCAATCACTCCCCATCTCCTTATTTCTCTCCCTCCTCACTGCCACCACCCTTGTTCAAGTATCCATATGATCTTGCTTCGATGGCTTCCTAAGTGGTTTCCCAGCTTCCACTCTAGTCTATAGCCAGAGAAACATTTTTAAGACATGAAACAGATCATGTTCTTCCTGCTTAATACCCTTCAATGACTTTGCATTGTCCTTTGAATAAAATCCAACTCCTCAGACCCTCCATGACTTGGCTGCTGTCGAACTCTCCAACTATTCCCATGTTGTAATTCCCTCTGTTCACTTATGTTCCAGCAGGCTTCCTTCTTGTTCCTCAAAACACCAACGCTACTTCCACTTGCTGACCCTTCTGCCTACATTCCTCTCCCTAAAGCTTAAAATGCCTGACTCCTTCTCATCCTTCAGATCTCAACGCTTCTCACAGAGGACTTCCCTATCCCCCTAAATAAAGTGGCTCCCCCCAATTATTCTCTCTCATCTTTCTTATTTCCCATTTAACAATTAACATAATCTGTAATTTCTTTTGCATTACTTTAGTTTCTTTCTGCCTATCTCCCCTATCTTGCTCACTGGTATACATGTGGTGTTTACTAGGTTGTCAAGAAACATTTCTTGTGCCAATTAATGTCTGTAGAGTTGACATTCACTACTGCCCCTGGTATTAATGTTATGAGTGCCAACCCTCCCTTCTGAATGACTGGGCATTCCACTGTAATGTCACCTTTATTCTTCTCATCCTTAATTTACACCAAAGTATTTTCCAGCCGAATTCATGCTTAACAAGGGGTCCTAGAAACTAGCCCATCCTGTCCTCTGTCTTCCTGGACTAGGATTTATTTTTTTATTACTTTTATTTTATTTATATATTTTTATGTGGTGCTAGGGATCGAACCCAGTGCCTCACACACGCTAGGCAAGCGCTCTCAAACCCAGTGCCTCCACACATGCTAGGCAAGCTACCACTGAGCTACAGACCCAGCCCCCTGGACTAGGATTTTTTTCAGAGGCCAAATAACAATTCATACCAATATTACTCCAGGTGAAACTCCTGACATGGTGCCTCAGCCAAAGCACCCTCTGGGATCTAAAACAGCCAATTCTACCATCTTCCTCCTTGGTCATCACCCCAAACTGAGGCCTCTTCTAGACTGTCTATCACTCTCATCTCTCCCAACATTTCCTATAACAACTTCCCAATATTGCACCTGTGGAGAACAAAATGACATGGGCTCTTTGATGTGAGAATCTATTTAAAAAAAAAAAAAAAAAACCTTCAAAACTACGTGCACATGATCGTGTGTTATTGCTGATTAGTTCCAAACACAAAAGAGAGATTTCTTTGGTCACAGTGGTCTCTTCTTCCCCACATAGGGAAAACCAATGAAATATCAAATTATTAGTCAAGGTATTGAAAATATATTATTTTAATCCTGTTTTAAAACCATAAAATCTCTTAGTGAAAGTTTATTTTCTCTGTTTTGGGAGAAAGAAAAGTTAACAAATATTTCAAAGTATATCTAATACACTTAATTTTCTCCAACAGCATTAAAATATCCTTTCTTACCTAGTTTTTTACTTTACACAGCCAGACCTACACACGGAAAGTTTATATCCAAAAGCAGATGGACTCTATTTCTCTGCCTATGAAAATCTTATTTACAGTGTTATATATTTCACACGGTGACCTCATATCTGGAACCCATTCCTCTCCCCATCTGCAAAGAACAACTGTTCTCACATGTGGGGGGAGGCTCTGGCTGCAGAGTCTCATGATGTCACAGGCCAGGAGGAATCACTTACTAACTCCTGGGAATGAGAGTTGTTATATTGATCAGATTTTTTGTTTTAAGATGAGCGAAAAGTCACTTCAAAAGCAAAAGTTAAAAGACAGCAAAAAGAAATACCATGGAAGAATACTGTTCTTACCCTGTCTCTCTATAGGTATAATTCTGCAACCAAAATTCTAAGCTATTTATCTCTCAAATTATAACAACTGAGTTTCCTTCTCACTTTTCTTCAAAAGATAATATCTTGACCTTTAGGCAGATAGTAAATATATATTCGACCTAATTTTTTACTAAGCATCAGCCAAGTGCCAGGCTCTAGGCTAACCTTTGGAGTAAGATATGACCCTGCTACCACTTGACCGCAGGTCATTATGGAAAAGTGATAAAAAAGGAGAGGTGGTGATAGTATCTATTATTTAGATGTACCTTCAGCTGCAAACACAAATACAGCAGCTGGGCTTTCATAATGAGAGAAAATAGAATATGGTCAGTATTTTTAAGTGAACCATGTAGCATGTGGCCATATTTCTGTACTAATCCAAGAATTATAAAACAAACTTAATTCAAAGAATAGCTAACCCTCCCTTCTTCTCTAGCCTTGTTACCTGACACCTGCCTTATATTTCACCCCCAAGGAGATCTAAGCTGCCTTACTACACGATGTTCCTCAAGTTCATGTTTTCATTAATGCAACTGCATCTCCACATCTCTGTCCCACACCTGCATCACTCATCCAATAGGCCCAAATTATCATCCTCAATACCTACCAAAGACATCACCTCCTAGAACAGACCTCTCCAGAACCCCAGTCCTATTCCCCCCAGTATCCTTCCCATACACCCTTGGTCACCCTTCTATCTCAGCACCTGCCATTTTATCCTCCAACCATCAATTCACATGACTGCTTCCCTGTACTGGGCTGCAAGCTCCAAGAACAAACCACAGTCATTTCAAAAGTAACCAAGCAATATGCTCCTAACCTTAACTGTTCCAGGTTCACAGGGAATGATTAATAATGTCTACTCCACCAAAACACTGGGCTAGCTTGTGAACACATTTTGTACAAACTCAAAAGCAATCAACAAATATTGTCTATTATTTTTCACTGTTTTTTTTTCCCAATCTTATCCATTTTTCTCAGACATTCAGCATCTTTGTGCTTCAGGCAAACCAACCTATTCAATGTTTGACATATCCAAACCCTACTTCCCAGTCTGCTTTAGTGCCTCACACTGGTACCTCCACTTGAAAAGCTCTCTTACTTACTCAAAACTTCTCTTCACTTACTCAAACTGCCCAGGGCCTGCCCATATCCCTTCCAATAAAGCATCCCTAGGCAACAACACTGGAAGTAAGGGCTCCCTCCTCTCAAATCTCAGGGCATTTTGCCTATCATTGTCTTGTGGTGCTTATCACTTCTAAATGCACTTCAGGTCTAAGAAGCAGTAAGCCCTGCACCAATTATATGCTCATCTCAAAGCATGCAGCACAAACAGGAAATAGCTGAATGAACAACAGATTGCTTTGGTTCCACATATTTAGGGAATAGCCTGCCAGTAGTTTTAAGCACCTGGATAAGTGCTCCTCTCTTCAAGCCTTCTGAAACCGCCTCCTTGGACATGTAGGTCTCAAATATGCTCCTTTTCTTCCCTCGTGTGGACTTGTTCTTCGACTTTTTGTCACCTGGCGAAGCACCAAAACCATGGGGACCAACCACAGAGGACACACCTAGAAACATGAGGCAGCAATCAGCTCTCTCCTCAAACATTTCTGTATTTTTAAAACTGGAGATATTATGCTTATTATTATCATCATTCTTATTATTTATAACGAACAACAAGAGAATGAAATTCTTTGATGATGAATTCAGTCACAAAGAGGAGAAAATGGGTAAGGAAACATGAAAAAATCATATACAGATGAGACCTGAACTTTAAATAAGCACAACATGCATGGAACAAAATATGAATAATTGGTTTAGTATGTCTTGCTGTTTATAGATATAAACTTTTAAAAATAGGAATTATTAAAAGATGATCACTTTTCTGGAGGAAATTAAACAGCTGTGCACAACATAATAATGAATTAAGACAACAAGAAACCACACCTAATTCTAGAATAAATAACATGGGAGAACAGTTAATAGTTCACCAAAAGAATTAGTCCCCTCATCCTAAGAGCTGCCCTCCACCTCCACACCCACTCCACTAGTATTTCAGGTTTCCTGTTGCCAAGGCAGACTCCATTTCCTTGTGCTACCTCTGGGGGTCCCCAGGGGCCGGAGGTTCAGTCTGTAGTCAGGATGGCTCATTACTGGTTCCAGGGGCTCCTCTTCTCTCCAGATTCAGGGGAGCCACTACTGCTCAGCTTAAAGTTCTTCCTGTCTGAAGCAGCTCAGTTGTCACCAGCTGAAATCAAAGAGATCAATGAGTGGACACCAGTCAACCTGCAGCCTCCTCTGCCCACCCAGAAATTTAGTACTCTGGTATACTTGGATGGCAAAGGCAATATGGTGTCCTCTTGGGTCCTGGTGTCACATTTTCCTGAGCACTCCATCAAGCACACCATCTGTGCTGAGTACACAAGTCTGCTCCTTTGGAACACTTCAATTAAAAATTTCCACAAATGGCTCAGTGGTAGAGCACTTGCTTAGCACGTGTGAAGCACTGGGTTCGATCCTCAGCACCACATAAAAATAAATAAACAAAATAAAGGTATTGTGTCCAACTACAACTAAAAAAACAATATTAGAAAAAAAATCTCCACAAATGGGGCAAATGAGGTAGAAAATGAGGAACTCTGTAGTACTAGTCAGGTTATGAAATGCACAAAAATAGGAGGAAATGTGGTTTGAAAGATGATAAAAAGATTCAGAATCTAAAAACTGTAATGGGATAGGTAATAAAAAGGCTCAAGATGTGGCATTTACTAAATTTAACCTAGTTGAAATTATCTCTTACAATAAAGAATCCCTAAGCAAAGCTAACTGAACATAAGGGATCCCTGCTCTCCAATCTAAGAACACTTTATCCATCACTGTCTTATGATGCTAATCATCTCTAAATACACTTATTTTATTTATTAAATAAGTTAATTCCTTAGAATTCATCCATAAAATCTAATTCATTGCCACAATTTGATACCCAAAATTATGAAGGGAACCCTAGATGGTTCACAAGCTTTCAAAAATGGCAATAATTATAATTAGAAGTCTATTCCCCTATTCTTATCTGTCATCACCTCAAACCAGGTGTCTAATCAGAAGCTCAAGCAGCCACATCTAAGGGATATAAGAGCAGCTACCTGGGTCAGTAGGCTGGAAGGTGCAGCCTTACGGCTGGTCCCTGGCCTTCCACTAAGATAATGACCACTCCACCACTTCTACTTTCTAGTCTCTGCTAGAAAAGAGATCAAGTCTATATTTGCAAACTTCCAAAATCCTGGAAGCAGCATATTTTCCCATGAAATAGATCAAAATGTTACTCTGAAGACTAGCTACCACTTCCTTCAAATTGTCCCTACACACATCCTTCACCAAAATGATATAATTTTTCATTCAGTTAAACTTAATACTAACTCTAAAGAAACAACACAAAGATTAACAGACACTTAGTGATAATGAAATGATTGAGAAATAAAGTTACCCAACTTTAAGGACAGTGTGAAAGAGATGGCCTTCCAGGCACAGCAAGGGGTCCAGACTGACCAAGTGTTAATCCAGAAGGCCTCACTCCCTTGTTAACAAATTCTTTTGCAAAGCACTGTACAAGGCAGAATGGAGGGATAAAAGGTCATTAGTTTGGTGGTTGGGACTTTCTCCCCATTATTTTCTGTCCTTTCTTTTTATTTTTATTGGTGCTTTATAATTTTATAGATAGACAGTTGTGTGTGTGTGATTGTTATATATTTGTATATGCACATGATATAATAATATAATTTGGTCAATTTTATTCTATAGCATTTCCCCTTTCTTATTCCTCTTCCCTTTCCCTGGCTCCTTTCTCTAAATTATTAGTCTCCCTTCCATGTTCATGAAATCCACCTCACCTTTTTTTTTTTTCTCTCTCTCTTTCTTTCCTCAAGATTTCACATATAAAAAAAGATAACCCCTAACTTTCTGAGTTTGGCTTATTTCATTTAACATAATGTTCTCAAATTCCATCATTCTAAACGGAGAAAAATTAAAGGCATTCCCTCTAAAACCTGGAACAAGACAGGGTTGTCCTCTTTCACCACTTCCATTCAACATAATTCTTGAAACACTGGCCAGAGCAATTAGACAGATGAAAGAAATCAAAGGGATATGTATAGGAAAAGAAGAACTTAAATTAGCACTATTTGCTGATGATATGATTCTATACCTAGAAGACTCAAAAAGCTCCACCAGAAAACTTCTAGAACTAGTAAATGAATTCAGCAAAGTAGCAGGATATAAAATCAACACCCATAAATCAAAGACATTTCTTTATATCAGTGACAAAGCCTCTGAGAAGGAAATGAGGAAAACTACCCCATTCACAATAACCTATTTTGTATTTTATTTAGAGACAGGTCTCATTGAGTTGCTTAGCATCTCACTTTTGCTGAGCCTGGCTTTGAATTCTCAATCCTCCTGACTCAAGCCACCCAAGCCACTGGGATTACAGACATGCAACACCGCACCTGGCTCTTTTGAGCTTTTTAAAGAATGGTTACTTTAACTGAAAAACTGCCATTTTTATTCTCATAGGACATTTTCTCAGGTTTTAGAATTCTATACTGTGGATTATTTTCTCTCAGTGCTTTGAAGTTGTCATTCCATTGTCTTATAGCCTTCACTGTTTCTAATGAGATGTCAGTCATTAGTCTAATTGTTAATTATCTCAAAGTACACTGTTTCCTCTCCCCTGGCAGCATTATACATTTTTCTCTTTATCTTTGGTTTTCTGCATACTTACCACAGTATACAAGTATGAGTTGCTTTTTCTCCCATGTGGTGGTAATAGGCTTCTTGAATGTGTTGCTTGATAATTTTTATCAGTTCAGGAAACTTTTCAGTCATTCTCTTTTCAAATATTATTTCTACCCATTATCCCTCATCCCTGTCAGGACTTGATTACACACTTTTGATCTCCTCAATATATCTGTGTCCCTCAATCTCCTCAATCTTCTCCATCTTTTTTCTCTGAATCTTATCAATTCCCTAATTTTCCTTTCAGCTCTATCTCATCTCCTGTTAAACCATCCATTAACTTCCTATTTCAGTTCATTTCTTTTTTTTTCAAGTTCTCTTCTGAAAATGCTGAACCTTGTCTTTTATCTCTTTGAACAAGTACAGCTATATTTACGTCTGAAAACTCCATTTTCAACAGCCCCTATAGATCTCCTATCTTCTGTTGCTTCTACTTGATCATGTTTTGCCTGAATTTTTTTAAATTATGAGATGAATATACCTGCATGATTTCTGCAGTAACAATTTGAGGCCTCATGTAATGTTGTTATCTTCTAGATAGGATTTGCATTTGCTTCTGCAAAGCACCTGAGACAAAGACAATAAACTATAAACATATTTAAAGTGGAGCTATAGTCATTGTAATGTTCTATCTACATCAGATTCAGCCCTGCTTCAAGGTGGGGCCCTTCAGTGTCCTAATTCCAAATCAGAGTCACCAGAACCACACATATCCCACATTCGCAGGGCCTGAGTTCTACTCCCTTCCCTTCTAACCCTAAGAGGATATCAAATGCACTGCTCAGTTTTTCAAATGATCTTCCAAAAATCAGCAAATATCCACTAGAGAGAAACAGCTCCAAATACTAGTCTTATTTCCCTAAGGTTTTATTTTCTCCTAGATATTTACCCTCTTATTGCTTCTAAAATACCTTCAAGTAGTTTAGTAGGTGGGAGGGAACTTGCTTTTCTATTTGTTGTCTGAAAGAAAATTTATTGCCAACTATTTTCTATCCCCTAACCTTGGGGAGAAGTAGCAACCACACTCTTCACTTTCATGCTCAAATGTATTAACCCAACTTCTTCCAAATAGACTCACTTTTATCCCTGACAAAACTTTTCCATAACTTTCCTCTCTTTCCTTCCTGTATCATATTTACAACCTAAAATCCTCAATTCTGTGTAAACCTATCTACTCTAAAACTTTACTAACACACCTATTGTTCTCTCCATAGTTTCCCTTCCAGCAATGTACAACCACCGGGTGTGGTGACGCACACCTATAGTCCCAGTGGCTTGGGAGGCTAAGGCAGGAGGATCAAGAGTTCAAAGCCAGCCTCAGCAAAATCAAGGCACTAAGCAACTCAGACCCATCTCTAAATAAAGTACAAAATAAGGCTGGGGATGTGGCTCAACAGCTAAGTGACCTTGAATTCAATCCCTAGAACACCCCCCACAAAAAAAAAAAAAAACTAAGAGCCTGGCCTTGCTCCCCTTCTGCCCACTTTAAGCCACCAACTACCACTCCATTGCTCTCATTCCCCTCCCTGAGAAAGTTTTAAAATGTGGTCTAGACTCACCACCTCTATTTCCTCTATTACATCCTCTTTACTCTCCTTTGGAATATAACTTTTGCATTCATCTCTACAACAAAATTACGTTTCTGGTATTGCTAGTGAAGAAGAGCCTCATTACTAAAAACTGGCATGCTCAGACTACAAACTTCTCCCTTTTGTTCTCCAGTATACCTCAGTCTCCTGCCTCTTCTAACTTTCTCTTAAATTCTCAGATTTCCTGCTGATTCCTCTTCTTTCACGGGTTTATCTCTTAGGTTTCTACCATTTGCAAGGTCTATTCTTAAGACTCATTTCACTTCTCTGCTAAATAGTTATATCTTCATCTCTAGCCCTATTCTCCAAAGATTCTCTTTAACTTTCTAACTTCTTGCTGAGTAATACTGGCCAGCAATTTGAATGAAACATGTTTCTAATTCAATTTATGATTCTCCTCAAACTATACTGTCCACCTATGAACTGTATCCAGATTAATGACATCATTATCATCCTTAGATAGCAAACAGTAGACATCTTACCTCTTTCCTCCATTAATAATCTATGACCGAATTCTGTCTATTCTCTTTTCAGAATATTCCTAAACAGATTCCTTCCTTTACAACTTGATTAGCACTGTCAGAATTCAGCTTGTTGCAACAGTTCAACATAGAGATAACAAAAGTTTTTTAACAGGTCTCTCAGCCATTAATCTCATCTTCAACCCATGTTTCACCTAAAACATAGAAGATATTTAAGAATTGCCTTTCAAAAAACGCTTCAAATTACTCCAACTATGTAATCTAACATACATTTTTGTTGGGAGCTGGCGACCGCACCCTGAAAATGGCGCTGGTTTCCTGCTTCTGCTTCTTTAGCGGTTAGAGTTGTTAGAGGTAAACAACTCCTTGTAAGGCTGTGGGGCTGGGCTCTGGCCTGCTTCCGCTGCGCTGTACCTATTAGACTTTTCCACGTGGTGCTAGTTCACTGGTGGGGCTGGGTACTTAAGCTAGGGCAGACCGACCGCTCGCTCTCTTTCCTGTTTTCTCATCACGCTTCAAGGGTCCTGAATAAACTGCTGAAAGAAGAATCCTGTGTCGTGTTTCCCTTGCTGGCGAGGGGTCGCGACACATTTTTATTCTCATCTTTTACTAAAACTTTTTTCAATATTGTACTAGGTAAATTCCTGATGAAAACCTTAGGCTGGGAGAGCCCATGTTTGGCTTCAAAGCCTGAAAAATGACTTTAAAATTGAGTTACAAAAATAAACTTTGGCAAAAACAACAGAAAGAACTACCTGTAGGTTCTGAAGAGTAAACAAATGAAAGACAGACTTTTGGGAGAAGAAAATTGGAGAAGTGACTGATACTAGGATGAGTGAGTTTCTAGCATTTGTGTTTTTGTTTTAGGAAGGGAGAGGAGTACATGTTTTGCCCCAATACTGACTCCCATCATACAAGTGATACAGGGCAGGCAGCTAAAACATCCACAGAAATTCCAAGGTTGCCTGGCCAGAAGAAGGGGAAACAGCCTGATCAACCACAGATGGTTGCCAGTGGGACAGGAGAATGCTGAAGAAAAGAATGCTCTAATTTCTATGAACATTGTACAAATCTCAGACTGACCCTTAACTCTTTTGGTGTCTAAGACAGACTCAGTGTAGCATCATAATGGCTTAAAATTGTAACTGAGAGTTCAGCCTTCTTTTATAGAGGACTAAACTTACAATCTGAACTTAAAAGAGGGTCTGAAACCAATGGATAGTAAAATAAAAAACATCAGGGACTGGAGTTGTGGCTCAGTGGTAGAGTACTTCCTAGCATGCATGAGGCACTGGGTTCGATCCCTGGCACCACATTGAAAAAACAAAACGAAAGAAAGAAAAACTAACAAAATAAAGGTTTTGTGTCAAAAAAAAAAAAAAAGAATCAAGATTCCTCAAAAGAATCTAATAGAATTCAAAGTCTACACAGGAGACTCACTTGAGTCCAGAAGTTTGAAGTCAGCTTAGACAACACAGCAAAGCCCTCCAAAAAGTAAAATAATAATAATAAAATAAAATAAGACAGATACAATCCAAAATAATTTGACATACAAAAAAGAACCCTGAAAATGTAACCCATTCTAAAGGGAAAAATCAACACATCCCAACCTTCCCAATCTCAAAATGACTGCCATTAGAATTATCAGAGAAACACTTTAAATCAGCTATGGTAACTATGCTCCCTGAGGTGAAAGACAAAAAACTTGAAATGACAGAAAAGAAATCTCAAAGAAATAA